GTGATCGATTCTGTTTGACTTCAAGAGTCAAGCGGTGTACCATTTTTGGTGCTCTTGCAATAGAAACTTTTTTTTTGAAAGAACAGAAACAATTTTTTACAGGGTAGTCTCCTCTGCTTCAACTAATAAGCTAGGTGCAACGCATGCACCAATAGTAGTTAACAGACATTTTGTTCAGCACATTAAGGCCTCGTCCGCTTTGCTAAAAAAACGAGCTAAAACACTGTTCTGATTGATTTGTTGTGATAGGAAAACACTGTTCCGATTAAAAAGACAGGTCGAAAAGTATGGATTATAAGACAAACAAACATGACTTAATTACTCCCGGCTAGTGTTTTGGTCGGGACTAATGTGAGCATTAGTCCTGAGTCTAAGTTTCATAGGTGTCAGAGGCACCAATCTAAACTAAAGGGTCTACATCCCGATCAGTGTTACCAACCTAGACTAAAGAGTCTTAAGACATTAATCTCAGTTGGTGACACCAACCGAGACTGAAGGTGTTATCAACCGGTGGGACTAAAGGGTCATCCATAGGTTAGTTCAAAAGAAAAGTATCACATCCAAAGTCACATGTGCTATGTAGGTGAGGTAGAAAGCTACAGGTGAGGCAATACATGAGGTGCGAGTCAGGGGGTGAGAGGCTTGTGCTAATTATTTTTTTAGCCTTAGAGGACGTTTAGTCCCGATCCCCGGCTAGGAAACCGGGACTAAATCCTTTTCCCAACCGAGACTAAAGATCGATTTTCTCCGGTGCACGTTTGCTAATTTCTCTATAAATTAAAACGTCGGGACTGCTGGTCTACTAAAATTGCAAGCCACCTACCATAATTCTAGTTTCTATAGTCTCTATCCATATAATGGCTATGTCACTACACTAAGTTAGTGTGCTATCAAAAACTAACTAAAAAGCTACACTAACCAAACTAACAAGCTCTCACAACTAGCTACACTAAAGAGCTTGACAACTAGTTTGCGGTAATGTAAAGAGAGTGAACAAGATGATTATACCGCCGAGTCGAAGAATGAACCAATCAATCACAAGAATCAATATCAATGAAGACCAATCACCTCGAAATCAAATGTTGACACAATGATTTTTTTACCGAGGTTCACTTGCTTACCGGCAAGCTAGTCCTCGTTGTGGCGATTCACTTACTTGGAGGTTCACGCGCTAACTGGCATTACACACCAAACCCTCAATAGGGTGCCGCACAACCAACACAAGATGAGGATCACATAAGCCATGAGCAATTCATTAGAGTACCTTTTGGCTCTCCGCCGGGGATAGGTCAAGAACCCCTCATAATCACCACGATCGGAGCCGGAGACAATCACCAACCTCCGCTCTATGATCCTCGCAGCTCCATGCCGTATAGGTGGCAGCAACCACCAAGAGTAGCAAGCGAATCCCACAGCGAAACACGAACACCAAGTGCCTCTAGATGCAAACACTCAAATAATGCACTTGGATTCACTCCCAATCTTACAAAGATGTTGAATCAATGACGAAGATGAGTGGGAGGGCATTGGCTAAGCTCACAAGGTTGCTATGTCAATGCAAATGGCCAAGAGAGTGAGCTTGAACCGGCCATGGGGCTTAAATAGAGAGCCGCCACGAATATAGCCGTTGGCTCAATTATTGGGCTGACTGCGAATCGACCGAACGCGCAGGTCGTGTCCGATCACTACTTGACCGCCACGTGTCCAATTCAAAATGAAGTAGCCGTTGCTGCCACGAGTACCACACAGTCAGCTGCGACCGAACGCGTCCGGTGTGGACGACCGGACACAGGAGACTAAGCGTCCGGTCGAGTCCAGAGAGCTCCCAGAGCCGCTCTGAGCCGACCGAATGCGTCCGGTCACACTGGACCGGACGCAGGAGACTCAACGTCCGGTCGAGTGCAGAGAGCTCCCAGAGCCGCTCTGGGCCTACCGGACGCGTCCGGTTACACTGGATCGGACGCTCCTAGAGTCCGATCAATTTTAACGCTGAGAACCCGAGGCGTCCGGTCGCTCTCTGCAATTCAGTACCGAGCCACATCACTTTGACCAGACGCTGAACAGTAACTCCTCAGCGTCCGGTCGTTAATACCGGACGCATCCGGTCGCCATACCGGATGCGTCCGGTCACTCTGTGACCAGCGCGACTAACTTCTTTTCAACTCTATCTTGTTCACCTTGTGCACATATGTTAGCATATTTTCACAAACATTTTCAAGGGTGTTGGCACTCGACTAGATTCTAAATGCAAATGTAATGAGTTAGATCATCTAGTGGCACTTTGATAACCGTATTTCGATACGAGTTTCACCCCTCTTAATAGTACGGCTATCGAACCTAAATATGATCACACTCGCTAAGTGTCTTGATCACCGAAACGAAAAGGCTCCTACTATTTATACCTTTGCCTTGAGCCTTTTATTTTTCTTTTACTTCTTTTCTAAGTCTAAGCACTTGATCATCACCATGGCAACACCATCATCATGTAATGATCTTCATTTGCTTCACCACTTGGAGTAGTGCTACCTATCTTATAATCACTTTGATAAACTAGGTTACCACATAGAGTTTCATCAATTCATCAAAACCAAACTATAGCTTTCAGCCTCCACGTGAAGCACGTAGACGTGCCGGCGGGCACGGTCATGCGCAACTGCCTCGAGCGTCCGGACGCTAGCGCCCGGATCATCTGGGCGCTAGTAGTTCGCTAGCCGGAGTCCTTAATTTTTGCATTTGATTTTCCAGCTTTCTTGTAAATTCTTGGTAGTGCTACTATATTAGACGGTTTCTATGGGACGCAAGATCTTCACATGAGTTATACATAAAATTTCAGAAAAAAATATTTCGTTTTTATATAGTTATTAAAAGACACGTTCCAAGGGGACATGAATATCAAAAAAGTAAAATGTTTTCTACGATGCGAAAGAGTGGTCTGGTCATGGAGAGAATATAGACCGAAACCAACGTGTGTTGCGTGATGCCTTTTTTTTCTGACAAACGGCTCATGTATATTGACTGAATGAGCGATGCGAGTGGGAAAATTTGACAAGGAGATGATAGCCCGTAGGCGTAAACTTGTTTTTTCAAGCGAATATAAGCCTAACATACGCCTTGGAGTTAGTTGGTCGAGCAATACTGTAACGCTAGCTGCAGCCGGCAGCGCCACCGCAACGACAACGTATCTTGTCAATTAGGGAGTAAAATTGAACAGCGCCTCGTTACATGCATTTGAATTATAAATTTAACTATATATATATATATATATATATATATATATATATGGAAATTATTTTCTACTCCTAGGGAGTAGTTACTCCCATGTGTATATCTCTAGATTTAGGGCGTATATGGCCTGACGAAATGTATGTAGATAGAGTATATTATTGTACTAGACCATTTAGGGTACTATGTATGACAAATATATATGTATACTTAAAGTATATGGTTATACTTATTTTATATGCTACTATCATAGTATTATATAATATCTTAAAAAATATGTGCTCTTTTGAATTTTTTCACATAGTAATGATCTGGAGTATCTTAATATTAGTATGTCAACGTAGTCAAACTGATAAATGAGTATGTACACATATGCAACGTGATTTATTGATTATGGAAGTAACTACTCCTGGGAGTATATAAAATGCACCATATATATATAATCATGATGAGCAAGTATCACTAGATTGATTGCGACATATATTTTCATGGTAAACATATGTAAAAAAATAAAAATATTGATATTGTTTTTTTTTGTATAAACAAACCTAGATCCTGTTTGGGACCATGTCCACCGATCGCGTGGGGCGCTATGGGTGCACGGCGAGCGACCTGCGATACGTAAAACTTTATCACTAGTTTAATTGTTATTAGGCGGTGGCTGATCAAGTCTGTTCGGTGGCAAGAATCGAGGTAACCGCGGGACGTTTCGCAGGATTCTGCGATTTCTCTCGGTCACGCGCGCGGTTTATTTACCCTTTTCGCGATACGTAAAACTCGAGATTGTTTCACGCATCCGGAAGTGTTATTTACCCTTTTCGCGACCAGAGAGTATTTGGCAAGGGGACGGATTTATTTATTTTCAAAAACACCAACCCCACCCACCGGGGGCATGATTGCATGGAACTAGGATTCTTTTTTCAGTTAATTACCCCACCCATCGGTGGCAGCAGCAACACACATGGTGCCGATCAAACAAAAAAAGAAGAAGCAGAAGCAGCAACACACATGGTAAGGCAATCAATCATCCCTTGCCAAAATCGACGAGCGTCCGATAATTGGAATTAATTATTTAATCCATCAATCAATACCATTTTCATATTTTTTATAGTAAAATAATCAATCAATACCACTAATTTCGCTACATGCAAATCAGTGTCAATCTACAGCCTGATCGTTGGGGCTGGGCTGGCTGGCCAACCCCCTCACATAGCTACTGTTCACGCGAACTAGCCAACAATATTTCTCTCTCACATAAACGAACCAGCAACGATACGAACAGGCTACTTGTACATCCAGTAGACTTTTGTCGTAGCTAGCGCGCCATCGTGGCGGTGGGCCCGGTGGTGGTCCAACCGCCGTACCGTACTTGACATGAGGACGGCCCAAAGCAGAAAGCAGCCATCGGAGATGGACACCTGCCGCGGCAGTCGCATACAGGAGGTCCGACCTGGGGAGGCGCCCGCTGATTGGGCTCAAGCCGCGCAGGCCCCACCCAGACAAGTGGGCCCTTGCCGGCGAGTCAACGTCCGGCAGACCACGACAGGCGACCGCGAGAGGTGGACGGGGGTGGATGGGCGGCGTCCTCTCCTTTTCTTTATCGATATCCTTTCTTTATTATTTGTAGTCGCCATCGCGATCGCGACTACGGGATCTGCTCTGCTTCCTCTCCTCCTCTCCTCCTGTGGCCAGTGGCTGTGCAACGAAAACCCCATCCCATTCCACACGTCCGGTGCCCGGTGGTGGGTGGGGAGGGGCCGCGCGCCGGGCCGGCCGGGATGGAGTGGCTGGAGAAGAACCTGCAGGAGAAGTTCGATCTGCCGCCCAAGAACAGCTCCGAGGAGGCCCTGCGCCGATGGCGCGATGCCGTCTCCGTCGTCAAGAACCCGCGCCGCCGCTTCCGCATGGTCGCCGACCTCGCCACGCGCCACCAGAACGAGCTCAAGCGACGATCCACCCAGGTACCCTACCGTGCCTACTACTACTGCTCATCCTCATCCTCCTGATTGGGGCTTCCCTGCCGCCGGCACAACCACTCTGCTTGCTTGGTGCTTGCAGCTTCCTTCCCGGCTTCCCCACCTCCCTCCCTCTTCGTCTTCGTTCCTTCTTGCTCTCATGAGGCAAGACAGGATCTCTCCTTCCCCCCTGCATCTCAACCTTTTCGTTTCTTTTCTCCTGCTACATCCTTTTCAAGCCCCCACCTAACGCCCCCATTCGCTTGGGTTCGTAGGCTGATAAGCCACAAGTGAAAGTACGGTAAGCTGATTTAGCGTGAGAAAAAAAAAATATTATTCGCTGACTGAAAAAGTACGGTTTATAAGCCAAACAAGCCCGAACAAACAGGGTGTAAACCTTTCCAACTCCCATTTCACTTAGGCCCTGTTTGGTTCCAAGCTCATAAAAGTTAACTCCCATTTCACTTAGGCCATATTTGGTTCCAAGCTCATAAAAGTTTTAGGAGCTTTTATGAGACTGCTAAACCTCATACAATAGTATTTGATTCCATCTCCTAATACTAACTAAACACAATAAATACACTAGCAAATAGACATGTAGCCCTCCTCTAGGAGAGAAAGAGGGGGCAGGGCAATAAAGGAAGGGTAGTGGGGTCCAGGATGAACTTTAGGAGCTTTTAGGAGGGGGTAGAGTTCCTAAAATTTTTGGTCCCTCTTAAAGTTTTTAGAAACTTTTAGGAGGAGGTATTTGATTTTTTAGGCAAATTCTATCTAGATTTTAGTTCCTAAAACTTTTTGGAGGAGTAACCAAACATGGCCTTAATAGATTGACTTGATGAGCAATTTAGACAGTCCATTCCGGCTAACTGAATCTGCTTCTCCTGTTGTGTCCTCTGCCTGGTAAAAGCGATTGCATAGAACTGCTGCAGATTAGACACACCACCAGAACCAGATCGCGACACCACGCCACGCTCACTTTCCACAATCCTGTCCAGTTACTACGATCCACAACTGTATCAGTGGCGCATTAGGGAACGGACGGGGAAGGGACACCAAAAGGGGGCAGCTTTAGCGTTTCTGTTGCCGTACAGCCGTAGCACTGCACACTCCGTTCAGATGCCCGGAGGAGAGGGGAGACGATCGATGTCCCTCCGTTCATGGACCGACAGGTTCACATGCTCACGGGCCAAATTGCAGTAACGGGCGTAACTTCCGGGAAGGAAGGATCCCACATCCCGGATTCCCAGTGATGTAGGGTAGGATAGGATAGGAATGGCCACAATGACAAGTACACACACGCACCACCTCACCTCACGTGCTGGCCACATCTTATTGGTCCTGTCGGTGCAGGCCGCCCCACTTGCACATAATAATATCTCACAACTGCGACTGCCATCCTCGCTCATTTGTCATTTGTCTCCATTTAATTTACTTACGGGCTAGTGTGTACGGTCAGGTTTGGCGCATAGGGTGGGTACAAATTCCGTTTCGTAGAAACTGTTAAAGAAGAAATGCTACTTTGTTAATACTGAACTATAAGTACTCTGTATTTGTTTGTATCTCATGTCTTATTATATAACCCAAGGAAAGAACTAATTAGTAGTGTCTTACAACATTAATCGGTTGATGCCAAATGGCTAACCTAACTTTTCCTATTGTTTGCTTAGGAGAATCCAGCGTTTTAGATGCTCTAGGTTTGGGGCAGGTTTAGTGTGGGTACTGATTCATTTTCGGGAAAAAAACAAAAGAAGAAATGGTACTAAATGACAAGTACTGTGCATTTGTTTGTATCTCATATCCTGTTTTGTCTGTTACAAGGAAAGGACTAATGAATAGTATTTTCTACTATTGGTTACTTTGATGCCAAATGACTCATCTAATTTTTCGTGTTTCTTCCTTAGGAGAATCCAGTGTTTTGTCAAACTGGACTTAATTTATGGATTAGTGTATATGCTCTAGGTTTGGCGCATACAATTAGTGTGGGTACAGATTCAATTTTAAATAATACAAGAAGAAATGCTAGTCTGTTACTAAACTACAAGCACCGTGCTTTTGTTTGTATCTCGTGTGTTGTTATGTTTGTGATAAGGAAAGCACTAGTATATATCTTATACAAAGCTGACTCTTTTTTTTATTCACCAGGAAAAAATCCGGGTCTTCCTCTATGTGCAGCAGGCTGCGCTCAATTTCATCGATGGTACTACATACCTTGCCATGTTGCTGTTTTCTATGGTGCTTTGTATTCTTTTGTTAGGGGGGGGGGGGGTGGAGAGGAATGATCTCATGGTGCTTTACTAAACTTGATCTAACTTGTGAACCATCTGATGTGAAGGTGTCAAAAATAAAGAGTACCGGCTAACTGATGATATTATCAAGGCTGGGTTTTCCATCAACCCAGACGAGCTGGCGTCGATCACAAGCAAGCATTATATGAAAGTTTTGGAGATGCATGGTGGGGTAGATGGGATATCCACAAAAATACGTTCGTCATTTGACCATGGCATATCTGCTAGCGACTTGGATACTAGGCAAACCATCTATGGTGTCAATCGCTATGTGGAGAAACCTGCAAGAAATTTCTGGATGTTTGTCTGGGATGCGCTGCAGGACATGACTCTTATCATCCTTATGGTATGTGCTCTGATATCTGCTGTCGTTGGTCTGGCATCTGAAGGTTGGCCCAAGGGCATGTATGATGGCCTGGGAATAATACTCAGCATTCTGTTGGTTGTGATGGTTACTGCTATCAGTGACTACAGGCAGTCGCTTCAGTTCAAGGAGCTAGACAACGAGAAGAAGAAGATATTTATCCATGTAACCAGGGACGGCTGTCGGCAGAAGATCTCGATATTTGACTTGGTAGTTGGTGATATTGTGCACCTATCAATTGGAGACCAAGTGCCTGCTGATGGACTGTATGTTCATGGATATTCCCTTTTGATTGATGAATCCAGCTTGTCAGGCGAGAGCGAACCAGTTTATATTTCTGAAGATAAGCCATTCATCTTGGCAGGAACTAAAGTCCAGGATGGATCAGCTAAGATGCTGGTAACTGCTGTTGGCATGCGCACTGAATGGGGAAGGCTGATGAGCACGTTGAGTGAAGGAGGGGGAGGATGAGACACCGTTGCAGGTTAAGCTCACGGAGTTGCAACCATCATCGGGAAAATTGGCCTGCTGTTTGCTACATTAACATTTGTTGTCCTGATGGTTAGATTCCTTATCGAGAAAGGTTTGACAGTTGGTCTGTCCCAGTGGTATTCCACTGATGCATTGACTATAGTAAACTACTTTGCAACAGCAGTCACTATTATTGTTGTTGCTGTCCCTGAAGGGCTGCCTCTAGCTGTTACTTTGAGTCTAGCATTTGCAATGAAAAAGCTAATGAATGATAAAGCACTTGTAAGACATCTTTCGGCATGTGAGACAATGGGATCTGCTGGTACTATATGCACTGATAAAACAGGAACTTTGACTACCAACCATATGGTGGTTGACAAGATATGGATATCTGAGGTTTCAAAGTCACTTACCAGTAACAACAGTTTGGAAGATCTGAATTCTGCCATTTCTCCAGCCACATTGAGCCTACTTCTGCAGGGCATTTTTGAGAACACTAGTGCAGAGGTAGTCAAAGACAAGGATGGTGGGCAAACTGTTTTGGGAACCCCCGACAGAGAGGGCAATCTTAGAATTTGGATTGAAACTAGAAGGACATCATGATGCTGAAGATAGGAGCTGCACCAAGGTTAAGGTTGAGCCTTTCAATTCAGTTAAGAAGAAGATGGCAGTGTTGGTCTCATTACCCAATGGCAAATACCGTTGGTACACCAAAGGTGCATCAGAAATTATTGTGGAAATGTGTGACATGATGATTGATGGCGATGGAAACAGTGTTCCCTTGTCGGAAGCTCACAGGAAGAGCGTCTTAGGTACTATCAACTCTTTTGCTTCAGATGCTTTAAGAACATTGTGCCTGGCATATAAGGAAGGGGGATGATTTCAGTGATGATACAGATAGTCCAACAGGAGGTTTTACTCTAATATCTATTTTTGGCATCAAGGATCCTGTGCGCCCAGGAGTCAGGGATGCTGTTAAGGCCTGTATGTCTGCTGGTATCATAGTACGAATGGTGACCGGTGATAATATCAATACAGCTAAAGCTATAGCCAAAGAGTGTGGAATACTGACTGATGGTGGCATAGCAATAGAAGGGCTAGAATTCCGTAACAAAAGCCCAGAGGAGATGAGGGACCTGATACCTAAGATTCAGGTTCATTTCGCTTTCCTCAGCCTACGTGTACAATAGGATGTATGAACATATCATCACTTTTCTCAATTTTATGTATCTTTCAACACTGGCAGGTTATGGCTCGTTCTTTACCACTTGACAAGCATACCCTTGTGACAAACTTGCGAGGTATGTTCAAGGAGGTGGTTGCTGTGACAGGCGATGGTACGAATGATGCTCCAGCATTGCATGAAGCAGATATTGGGCTTGCGATGGGCATAGCAGGAACAGAGGTACTATGTTATAATTCAGTCGTTTGTGGACTTGGTTAAGTGAGAACTGACAAGAATACTTATCGTGAACATACCTCACAAAGTATTTAGTGAATTTTATATTTCATTTTCGGTCCTGCGAAATTAGTTTGTCTCCATGGTCTCACAAAAATTAACATCGAACATATTCACCTCTACTATTCTTGTAAATGTAAAAAAACTCTTGCTGACTGAATACAGGGCTGGTACCATTAGAAGTTTAGAACTCCTCACTTGCAAGGCCTTGCCGTTTAGCAATTCTGTGTGTCCCTTGAATTGGCTTGAAAGATAACAGTATAACCTTACATATTTCCAGGTAGCCAAGGAGAGTGCTGATGTGATAGTGCTTGATGATAATTTTACAACTATAATAAATGTTGCAAGGTGGGGTCGTGCGGTTTACATAAACATTCAGAAGTTTGTGCAGTTTCAGTTGACTGTCAATATTGTTGCTTTGGTCATCAACTTTGTCTCAGCATGCATTACAGGTGCGGGCATCATCTATAATATTCTTTTTGCAATGCCATGGTTGTTCAATTAGTCATTCTTGATACCTGCTATTGGAGTAACAGTATTTTGACTGTTGCACCACAGGAAGCGCTCCACTCACAGCGGTGCAATTGTTGTGGGTCAATATGATCATGGATACATTAGGAGCTTTAGCTCTAGCAACAGAGCCGCCAAACGATGACATGATGAAGAGGCCGCCTGTTGGGCGAGGAGAGAGTTTCATTACCAAAGTCATGTGGCGAAATATTATTGGGCAAAGTTTATATCAGTTGGTTGTACTTGGAGTTCTCATGTTTGGTGGGGAACGTCTTCTGAACCTCAAGGGTGCAGATTCCAAATCTGTTATCAATACACTCATATTCAACTCCTTTGTGTTCTGCCAGGTGAGTACATTCACCATTACCAGTTCATTTTCTGTTGTAATGCCTATGGTGATGCTGAGGTCAATTTCATTCCAAACTATTTGCCTCTAGCTCCGTCTTCCATTTATAGCCTAAACTGATAGAGATATATGCAATGCAAACAATATGTTGCTAGTTATCTGGTTGGGGGAGGATCTCTACATTTTAACTATTTTCCATATTGTCTGATCAAGGAGAACATAGTATCTGTCAGTCTGATGATAACCTGTTATCATGTCACATCAGGTGTTCAATGAAATAAACAGCAGGGAAATGCAGAAGATCAATGTTTTCCGTGGTATGTTCAGCAACTGGATCTTCATTGGAATCATAGCTGTGACAGCAGCGTTCCAAGTGGTGATCATCGAATTCCTCGGCACCTTTGCCAGCACCGTTCCACTTAGCTGGCAGCTGTGGCTGGTAAGCATCAGCCTCGGATCCATCAGCTTGATCGTCGGTGTCATCCTGAAGTGCATACCAGTTAAATCAGATGGAATTCGCGCGAGTCCAAATGGCTACGCACCGCTTCCCAGCGGTCCTGACAACATATAGCTGGAGAAGAGAAGAGCGACAACGGAGAAGGTACTACTGAAGTACTGTGTTCGCTAGCCTTAGCGGATTCATGAGAACCTCAGGAGCACTGCGGCTACCTTATATTTTTGGGACCTGTTCGGAATAATTCCACTTGTTCTAGGTTCAGTGATTTTCACATGAAGGAACCTTGGGACCAACCACTATCTAGGTTCAGTTTTAACAGATTATTCTGTGCCTTGCAACTGCTCGTGTTTGCAGTTGGTGGTACTGTGTAAAAAGACATGGTGGTGAGCACAAGGCACTCTACTTTCATGGGTCATGGAAACGAAGCCTCTCACTAATGGAAGTACATTAATTGACTCTCTGTTCTTGGAGTACATTAGGCCTGTTCGGCTGGCTTTGTTTGCAGTGCTGCAGCTGCACTTGTTACCGACCATCTACTCATGCTGTTGTCTGTTGACCTTCGTGCAACCACACCGTGTGACTGACAGCGCGATCGGTTTCTGCCTATGAGCCAAGCCATGAATGTCGAAAAGGCCCATATGACCGTTTTATTTCTCATCCTTCCTTGCAGAGGAAGGCCCGGCCCATTTGTGTTTGAGCACGCTGGTCGCGTCCTCTAACACCGGTTCGCCCTTCGCCTAACCCCAGTGCGTTTCTTTCTCTTCCTTCCTTGCCGAGAAAACCCCTACAACTGTGATCTGTCTTTACCTAGTTTTTTGTCCATACATTGCAACGAGAGCTAGAAAATATGACATATGGTAGGGTAACATGTCTTATATTAGACCAATACAAGTAAGGCCAGCTCGAGTTCTTTCTCGGTCAGGTACGTCCAACCTAAGCTAAAAGCTAGGGTTTCACCTAATAATCGGAGACACACGGCTCTTCAGATATATCCGATAAAATTGGGTCAAGGAGCAGGAGTAGCAATTGTTTACGCAAACTGTTCTGCTGTACTTGCATTGGCCACGTACATAACAAACACACCAATCATTGAGGATATAGTTGTCCCAAAAAAAAAAAATCATTGAGGATATATAGTAGTCAGGTAGATTGCTCACCATGTCCATCAGTCCTTGTAGTTGTATAGTTCATTGATGAACCACCTCATTTTATAGTTATCAAATCCTTATCCTATCTGTACTACTTTCCCAACAACAATCGAGATACAAATGCTGGCAGACATGTTACACAACAATTAAGCATATAGTTCCTACTTATCCACAATGGCCAATAATAGATACGATTGTCACTTCACAAGGTCTTGTTAGTGAGCAAGGAGGGATTAGCCGCCGTTGTCACTTCCGGTGTGCTCAACGCGTAGCTCCAGCACACTAGAATATATCGGGTCATCGCTTGCATTTAGGAACTTCAATATTGCAAATCTGCCACATTACAGTTAACTTTTATAGTGCAAACAGGTCACCAACACTATTGATCTCTCTGTTGTATGGATTTACAACAAATAGTACTAATGCAAAGTATTTTTTTTTACCTTTTATGGGCTCTTTGGTCCTCCCGGTTCAACGATAGCCTTAACGCTTTTTAGGCCCCGTTTGGGAGGGCTCCTCTTCAGCTCTGGCTCCGGATCCTCTGGAGGAGCTCTTGGAGGGGAGTCTTTCCAAACACACCCTTAGTTGTCAAGAAAAGATAGAAATGTTCACGCTTCTACAGAACACACAATCCCTACCATCCCATCACTGTCTGGTTGTAAGCCTATTTATATCTAAAGCAAAAGTCTCACTTTCCTCCTCCTCCTCCTCTTGTCTTCCAAGTACTTCATGCAGTTCCTAGACCAATGTCCAAGGTCGTCACAAATGGAAGCATTTGTGCTTAGGAGATGGGCTAGGTTTGGTCTTTACATTTGGCTTTGGCTTTGTGATCTCATATTCAGCCCTGCCTTTGCTTTTGTCCTTACCCTTCATAAAGTGTTTCCTCTTTCTACTATCCTTCTGAACCATCATCACAAGATTTAGGCTTTTCTTAATGCTCTCATTGGCCGATTTAAACATCCCATGCAACTCAGCTAGAGTCTTCTCCATGATGTTATGTGAAAGTTCATAATGAATGGCTTAAAGCTTGGACGCAGAGACCAAAAGACACTACACCACAACACTAATGTAGCGTCACACGTGTGTCGTTATAAGTTCACTAATACCGTTGAACTGTTGGTCGGTATAGCTGGCCTACAGATCAAGTGTCAGTAAATGTACCTTTTGCATTGAACTATCGGTCGGTATATATATTTGGCTGTATAGTCGAACCGTCGGTCGGGATAGATAAACAAAGAAGGACGAACCTTCGGTCGGTATAGAGTGGTGCGCGCTTTGAAAAAAAAGGCCCATTCGTGGGAAGATAAAGATGGGCCTTCACGCCAGCAGCCTAACTCAACACCAACTCTCTCAACCCTAACCCCCACGTCCAGACTCCCCCCCCTCTCCCAATCTTCCAAAGCCGCCGCCCGACACTTGATCTGTTGTCACTTATAGCAAAACCCAACTTGTCAAGGCTCTCAATGTAACCCATCTTCATGATTACATGAGGACTGGTTGGACTACCTTCTGCTAGCTTGCATGAAAACATGGCTTCTGAGATCGAATATCTCTCAACCCTAACTTGGTTCATAAACATGCCATGGAGTTCCTCAATCATAGTGTAGGCATCCGCATGCTCATATTGCTTTTGAAGCTCAGAGGGCAGCATGAGACAACTAACATTTAGGTAGGCATCTCCTTCATAGCAGGAATCATCGGGTCCAACCAGTCGGACCCGAGCATCCCGCCGACCACCTCTGTATTGAATAACGAAGAATATATGTGATGGGCCACAGTTTCGAAGGGTCGGCCCACGAGTCCGCAGCCTCAGCGCATCGCTGTGTTCAGGTGCGTTTCTTTCTTTCTTTTTCCTTTATAGTTTTATCTATTTGTTTTTTCTTCTTTCCTTAATTCTTTTCTATAGTTTTCTTTTTCTTTTTATTTTCTTTATTTTTTATCTTTATTTGTTTTTCTTTTCTTTTTTGGAACTTCTTTCGCTGCTGTTAGTGCATCAAGTATTAGTGCGTCATGTAGTGCTGCTGCTTTCTTATTCTTTTATATTTATATTTTATTTATTTGTTTTCCATTTCTTTTTTTTTTTTTTTTTTTCTTTCTTTCCTTGCTTCTCTTTAGTTTTTTTTTTTTTTCTTTTTTTATGTGTTCTTATCCTTTTATTTTTTATTAGTTATATCATTTTCTTTCTTTTTCCTATAATTAATTATTTTGTTTATTTTATTTTTTGTATTCTTTTTTATTTTCCTTTGTTTTCTTCTATTTATTATTTCTTTCACTTTTGTTTTATGTTTTCGGTGGATTTTCTTTTTTTATTTTGTTTTATTTTTGTTCTTCTTTTACTCTAATTATTATTTTTTATTTCCATCGCTATGTATATTAGATGTTTTATGTTTTTTAAGTTTTTTTTATTTATATGTTGCATTAGATACATATCATGTTCATGTAGTATCCAAGTGGATTTTTTTAACAATTTTATTTTTCTCTTCCTTATTTAATCTAGCCCTTAGTCTTTGAACACCGGATTGCCGCTTGAGCGAATAGATAAATGAACCAAATGAATGGAACGCAATGAGAACGAAACGTTGGTTATTGATTTAGAGAATCATTGTTCCATCCTCCCCCTTACAAGTAGCCCCTAAGTGCTATTTATACACGTCCGTAGACTTTTCACCGGACGTCAATGCTCTCACAACCACTACAAATTCCCAGCATAGTCCCCTTTAACCATGGGTTTCGACGCCATTTGCAGGTATCGCCCGCCCTGGGGCGTCGCTGGCTTCCGACTTTCTGCCTGGTCCTCGTTGCGTGCTCTCGCTTTATCGAACCCGTGGGCCCGGCCAACCTGGAATTATCGGCCTCTTGTCTCCCGGTGATCCCTCTTTGTAGCGAGCCCTGCAAACAAAGTCATGCGCGAATGCGAATAGAAGGAGGTGGCATCTTGTGGGTTTTGGCGGAGCGAGAGCTACCAGCGTCCCGCGCCCCCGATGCCCGTGCGAAGACTGGGAGCAAAACTGTATCGTAAAAAACAGGGCCAGATCGCGTTTCACCAAGGCAAAATGTGGGAGCGGAAGCACTGGTGCAGCAAGGCTTTTTGCTCCCGGTTGGGAAACCCCTTTAGTCCCGGTTTCCCAACCGAGAGCATCAATCCGGGACTAAATGTACCCTCCTTTAGTCCCGGCTTGACGCCCGGGACTAAAGGGGGACCTTTAGTCTCGGTTTGAAACACCAACCGGGAGTAAAGGGAGCCTCCAGGCTTGGCCAGGGACCGCCACGGGGCAGGACCTTTAGTCCCGGTTGGTGTTACCAACCGGTACTAAATGTCCCTCTCTTTTTTTTCCTTTTTCTGGTTTCTATTTTTGGTTTCTTTTTTCATTTAATGATTAGTTTTGATATTAAAATACATTTTTGAATACGCTGCTAATAGTAATATATATGTGTACTTCGCACGCGTAAGTTTTCGTTCGAACTCTGTACATAAATAACAAACGAATATACGCGTACATGCATATATATATATATGATGATCATATATATACACACGTTATTTTATGTACATATAATATGTGCATATATATATATATATATTACAAAGGTTTGATATATAAATTGTTTATGTCCTTAGCAATTCACTCCTCCAGGCATCCACGTTTCGTTCGAGTCAATGTAGAACTCGCCGTTGGGGTTGATGACCTGGTCATTTAGAAATCCTGCTATAGTCTCTCGAATTGCTTTAAATTGGTCAAGTCGTATGACTCTTTTCCTCAACCATTCGGTCTTCAATAAAAGTTAAAGGAAAAAGTATTAATATATATATATGTATGTGTATTGCTCATGTAATTACTTATACAAATGAGAGCAATAAAGAAATTATAAATATACGATCGAAATAATATAAAGGAAAAAGTATTTATATACGTACTTTGAGTTGCTCTTCAGGAGTTCTCTTTGAGTATGCCATGATGAACTCGC